AAATATTTGATTGATAAAAAAAAAATTAATTTTAATTGGGGCAAATGGGCTGAGAAGGAATCTTGAAATTATTTAATATTTTTAAAATGCTTATGGTCAATTAATTTAAATATTTAGTTTGGTATGGTTTAAATTTTTGATTTAATTCAAGTAAAATTCAATAATTAATTTTCATTACATATTTTATGAGATTTACAATTTTTCAACCACTTATGTTATCAAATTTTATCAAAATTTACTAAAAATTTAATTTTCATTCCCACCAAATGTCCTAATTGCTATCATTATAAAGTAAAAATACACTTCACATATTTAAAAGGGATAATTGCAGCAAAGGTCCCAAACCTTTCAAATTTTTGCACACTTTATCCTAACTTTTGATTTGTGCTAGCGGAGGTCCCAAACCTTTCAAAAATATGCGCCGGAGGTCCAACTGGACAGTTGACCATTAGTCAACCAAGAATAGTAAAGTTTGACCATTTTTGACAAAATAAGAAGGGGCAAAATGGTAAATTGACAATTTTCTCATTAAATAAAGAAAAAAATAAAAAGGGAAAATTACAATTTCTCCTTCCCGGCATCGACAGTTAATTGCAATTTCTCTTCCCGGCACCAACGGTGTCGGCACCACCGTCGCCGCCGTAAATCACAAATGAAAAACATCACATTCGACAGTCAATTGCATTTTCTCCTTCCCAGTTTCTCCGGCACTACCACTAAAATTATTCCAGATTGGGCTCTGTTAGGGCTGTTAATCGACGTTACATCAGTGATTGTGTTCCTCTTAAGATGCGAATGAAGGCTTCTGCTGGTTTTGCTAGTGCTGGTGCACTTGGAATAGCTTGTGGTCCTGCTCTTTCCTGCTTGCTTCAATCTAATTTTAAGATCTTCAGAATTTCATTCAATGAGATACTTTACCAGGATGGGTTATGGCTCTGGCATGGCTTATCTATCTGCTGTGGTTGTGGATATCATTTAGAGAGCCTTTGCACGACGAGGAAGTGAATATTGGGCAACAGAAAACAAATTCGGGTATGTCAGTTCGACTCTAAAATGGATTACAATTGTAATATTGTGTCTTGAACAATTTTATAATGATTCTTAATGGGCTCTGGTTCTCCTTCCCAAAAATGGAACCTAAATTGCCACGATCACCACCCCCCACCAATTCCCCATCACCAACACTTCGCCATGACCGCTACCCACCAGCCACCAAATCTCCATCCCAAACCAAAAAATCATCTACTACCACCACCACCACCACCATCACAAATGCCGGAAACTACCCATTTTCAAACTTCAAACCTAATTCAAAAAATCCGAAAAAATTAGAAGATAATGGAAAATTGAAGCCAGGCGAACCACAAGCAAACTTGTACGACAATGGGTAACCATTTAATTGCTCCAATTGAGGTTAGAGCTGATTTAATTCGACGGGTCTTGGTGGCAGCAATTTATAATGGTGGCGGTGGAAGAAGTGAAAACTGTGGAAGGAGTGCCCTTAAGATCCTGCCAATGATGGTGGCGGTGGTGGCCGACCATGAGGGCGGCGATGCTGAGGATGGGCGTGGTGATCGGCGGTGGGTAGGGAATGGGGAAGAGTGGAGTGGAGTGGGAGGAAGAAGGGTTTTTATATTTATATTTTTATTTTTGGGTTTTTTAATTTAATTTTTAACCTATTTAATGTGATAAAAATACAAACTTACCATTTTACCCTTTTGAATTTGGTCAAAATTGATTAAATTTTGACTTCATTGGTTGACTAACGGTCAACTGAACGGAATCCGTCTAGTTGGACCTCCGGCGCATATGTTTGAAAGGTTTGGGACCTCCGCTGGCACAAATCAAAGGTTAGGGTAAAGTACGCAAAAATTTGAAAGGTTTGGGACCTTTGCTGCAATTATCCCTATTTAAAAAGACTAAAATAGTCTTTTAAACTTTAATTTTTAAGAGTAACGTTATTTAATATCGTTAGTATTATAACATCAATTTAGGTGGTAGCATTAAGTGATAAGTTTAAATAAGAATAATCATATTTGCAGTCGCTCATTGCGACAATCGCCTTATGTAGCACACACATGTCAAGTGTGTATTTTATGCATTAATGTGATAAAACAAAATCACCACATTAATGCATCAAATAAGTACTTGTCATGTATGTGACACGTAGAGTGACTGTCATAGTGAGCGACTATGAATAACATTACTCAAATTGATTTTTAACACGTGATGCTACTCAACATTATTCATTTTTTTAATGTTGACCTCCAAACAGCACTTGGAAGTTTTGTCAAAGATGTTCTATGCACAAATATTGGTGACATTTGTATCAGGAATTGAACTAACATATAGAGCCCGTTTGAGCGTTTTTTTTTCCCTCAAAATGCATTTTAAAATAATATTTTAATAAAGAATGTGTGGTTCAAAAATAAGAAAAAATTTTGAATTGCACGTATTATATTATTTTATTGAAAAACGTAAAGTTTAAAAGAAAAGAGATTAAAAAAAAAAGTATTTTAAAAATAATAAAGACCAAACAAATTCATACCTTAAAAGACTCCTAGTTTAGTGTTGTAATAAAAAGATTTGTATAATTCTCTCAACCATCAATGTTTATATAATTAAATAATTCTTTTTGTACGATTAACGTGATATCATTTACTTCTAAATTTTACTCTACTATTCTTTTCATATGTTAATTATTCAATAATATAATTTAGGGTAATTAGCACAACGTGTTCTTGTTTTCTAATATTATCGTGCAAAACGTCCGTGCCTTCATTTTTTTTGACATTTCCACCTTTAATTGCACAAAACGTTCCTTCTATTCATTTTCATCCCAACTTCACCATTAAGTGAAAGCAATAGTCATTTTTTTTTCAAAACGGAAAGGTATTATCATTTTGAGAAAAATTTGGCCTTTCTTCCCATACGTTGAACGTGAAGTGCACATTTTTCCCCTTTTTTTTCTTCAATAAACTTTTTCCCCTTTTTTTAGAATATTCTTACCCTTATCATCTCCTTTCATCTCCGCCGATGGAAGCATGCAGCGAAGGGTACACAGTTGGGTTGATTTTGTAAAGGTGCCATGCAAAAAATATGAAGTCGTGGAAGCAAGTTGGGTTGATTTTGTACTTTCCAATTGCTGGAATGGGAATATTTAATCATCACGAAAAGGAAATTGATTTTCCTTTGACAATTCAACCCAAAAGCATGGTAGATCTTAGATCACCTTAAGATCATAGTACGTTTTTGTTTAAATCCTAACATATAAAGGGTGAGATGATAACCTTGAAGGAGCTTTAATAGCCTAGCCAAATGCTTCATCCCTTAGATCTTCTCCCTCGTGCTTCTTAGGTGCCTCTCCTCACTTTGAGAGAATGAAAAATGGCTAAAACCCTAACCTTGGTAAATGTGCCCTTAAATGACATATTTATAACACATCATTAGAGTTTCATATTTGCACAAATATTCTTGAACTTTATTGTAGTAGACCAATTAAGTCACACACATTTATTGGAACCAAAAGAGGGACCTAACCGGACTCACAAGACTCAAGATCCAATATATATTTTCAATTGGGTCAACTATTGACCAATTGAGATATATCTATTAATCTCGTCTTACTCCACCAAAAATACGGGATTGCACTATTGAGTCGAGTGAAAGTTATGAAAGTCAATCATGATTCGATAACAATATCCTCCGAATACCATTCCACAAGTCAACCCCCGTTTGACCGTCAATATGTTGAAGTCGACAAAATGATCGTTTTGCCCTTCAACATGTATTTCCCTCCAAGTCCCATTTCATAAAGCGAATTCGTTGTGATCACATCACAACACGAAGTCCAACGACCTCATCGTCAGATTATTGAGCTCAGGTTCAATTCCCTTTAGAAATATCTCAAAGTGACAATCGTCTCATCATGATGATTAACGGATTCCATTACTGCAAGTATATGATCTCTAACTGCCTCGCCCAAATTCTCAAAGTACCGAGATTGATCTTCTAATTTAACACTTCACTTATTGGTACATCAAAGAACTTGAACTAGCAATTAAAGGTACATTACTTGCTCAGAATTTAGGCAACTTGTTCGATAATCGAGTGGCGTCTCATTTCGAGCAATCACAAAAGAGTCGTTCACGCGATCCTGTTCAACATGCTCCAAAACACGTTGTTGTTCTTATTCCTAGATCTAGACAAATCTCAATAAAAACAATGCAATCTTATCAATATAAAACTTCCAACTTCATGTTCCGATTGTGAACGACATATTTTGATCATATAACGAATTGTGTCTCATTATACCCAAACTGTCGAGTATGCAATTTGTTATTTAATATGATCATGGAACCTTAGATTATTGTCACGGATTCTAACACGCGAATAATAGAATATTAATTCATAATATCGTTACAATATACTTGCTATAAGAGGGCATCAAACTAACACCAATGAATGTTGTTTAGTTGATGCAGATAAATTGTGTACTGGTGGCTTTTGTTGTTTTAATTGACAGAATTTTTTCTAAGAAGGTGGTTGATGGTGTAATTGAAGGGGAAATTCTTCTTCTTGTATCTTCTCTCTCTTTCTCTATGTGGGCTCATGTATCTGTCTCTCTCCATCCCCTCCCCGCATTGACATGAGTTTTTCTTTATCTCCTTTTCCTAGCTTTCGTGCTCTTTATCTGTTTAAGTTTCTATTTCAATGGTTTGACAAGAAACAATTGTCAGTATTATTTTGGCTGGTACAATGATTGGAGCTGTCGTGGCTGGTTTGATAAACGATTTTTATGGATGTATGAGTGCTACTTTGTGTGCTTATGTTGTTTTCACTATTGGATCTATAGTCATGGCTGCAGTTCTAAATCCTTACGTTCTTATTGTTGGTCGTCCCTTTGTTGGCTTCGGGGTGGGCGTTGCATTTGTTGCTACTCCTGTGTATACTGCTAAAGCTGAAGAATCATCACCAACTTTTTAGAGAATTTCATAGCAGCCAACATACTAGAAGAATCAATGAGGAGCAGGAACCAACTTCATTCTAGAGCTTTCCAGCTTCCACCTCCATTGAAGAATTATCTAGAATTATGGAGAGGAGGAGACCACCTACTATGCTACCTATATATATGTATGCAGCTGTGTGTATTTGAGAGTAGTGGAAGAGAGTGTTAGAGAGAGTGCATGTGTGTTAGATAGAGTCTGCAAGTGAAGAAAGAGTGTAGTGAGAGAGTGTGCTGGAGAGAGAAAATATTTATATAATATTAGATAGTGCCATTTGGTGGTTCTTGTCTAGTGTGTATCCAAAATTGTAAAATTCATTTCATTAATAAACTTTTATTTTGGGCCTCTAAACTCAACAATTTGGTATCAGAGCGAGGCGGTCGGAGACAAATTTTTGGGCTTCTTGAGTTCGTGCACAAAAGGAGATTGTGAAGCTTTATTAAAGTTTGCTTGATTACGAGAAGGTAAATCAAGTCACGATGGGAGACCTACAAGCAGTAGGCGGAGTAAAGAAGCTCAATAATCAGAACTACACCACATGGCAAACTTGCATGGAGTCGTATCTCCAAGGGCAAGATTTGTGGGAAGTCATTGGTGGAAGTGACGCGATACCACCAGAGGAGGCTGGAGCTCTGAAGAAATGGAGAATTAAAGCGGGTAAGGCCATGTTCGTTATAAAGACAACAATTGAGGAAGAATTGTTGGAGCATATAAGAGACAAGTCTACACCAAAGGAAGCATGGGACACTCTAGCCGCTCTATTTTCAAAGAAAAATGACTTGAGGTTGCAATTGTTGGAAAATGAGCTACTCTCGATCACTCAAGGAGAACAAACGGTGAGTCAATATTTTAATAAAATTAAATCTCTTTGTCGCGAAATTTCAGAATTAGATTCTTCAAGCAAGATTTCGGAGTCTAGAATGAGAAGAATAATTATACATGGTTTGAGACCCGAATTTAGAGGGTTTATTGCTGCCATCCAAGGTTGGCCTGAGCAGCCTTCATTGGTAAATCTTGAAAATTTGTTGGCCGATCAAGAAGCGTTAACTAAACAAATGTTAGGGGTCTCAATAAAGAAAGAAGATGAAGAAGCACTATATAGTTATAAAAGAAGAGGTCGAATCCATCAACAAAATAAAGAATTAAAAGAAAATAGAGAAGGTTCTATGACAAGGGGAGCCAAACAAAGTCGCGACAAGAGAGGTCAGCCGTTTAACGGATATCAACGAACTAATAGCTCGTGTTTTGTATGTGGAAAACGAGGCCATTATGCTAGAGACTGTTGGTTTAAAAAGGAGCGAGTAGAAGGAAATATAGTAACCTCGAACGAGCAAGAGAAATATGATAGTGAAGAAGAATGGGATGCTGTGGCATCCACAACAGTAATTGAGCAAGCTAGAGAAAAGAAAATCAATTCAAGTATAAAGGATGAATCAGCGTTGGTAGTGGTCCTGCCTGAACAAATCGATTATGAAAGTGATTGGAGTGATGACTCAGAAGAAAATGATTGGATCAATGAATCAGAAGAAGATGATTGGATAGATGAAGCAGGAGATGACATCATGGTTCATGAAAAGTCTACTTGGTGGACTCCGCAGAGGGAGGAACTAACAGAATCAGAAAAGGGGTTTGAAGAAGTATATCCTTTGGAGACACCGCAGAGGCTGGAACTGCTAGATTCAAAGGAAACGAAAGACAAATTGCAAGAGGAGGTCATGGAAGCACAACAAAGAGTTGAGGGATTTAAAGATCTACATATATCAAATATAAAAGTAGAGAGTACAAGAGCGACACAAATTCCTATGCAAAATGATGTGGACCAAGAAATACTAACAGATGATCGAAAGAATCAAAAAGATATTGAGGTACGTACAAATTTACAACCACAAATAAGGAAATTGAGTAGACATGAGAAATTGAGTATCAAAATTGATGAAGATGAAAACATGGAAGAGCCAAATATATTTAAAGGAGCGGATGCTTTAAATGAAGAATCAAGCACTTCAAAATTTATCGAGGCAAAGTTGGACGTGAAGAAGAAGAAAAGAGTCAAAATGAAAAGTTGGTGTTGAAGGGGAGAATTGAAGAATCATCACCAACTTTCTAGAGAATTCCATAGCAGCCAACATACTAGAAGAATCAAGTGAAGAATCATCACCAACTTTCTAGAGAATTCCATAGCAGCCAACATACTAGAAGAATCAAGGAGGAGCAGGAACCAACTTCATTCTAGAGCTTTCCAGCTTCCACCTCCATTGAAGAATTATCTAGAATTATGGAGAGGAGGAGACCACCTACTATGCTACCTATATATATGTATGCAGCTGTGTGTATTTGAGAGTAGTGGAAGAGAGTGTTAGAGAGAGTGCATGTGTGTTAGATAGAGTGTGCAAGTGAAGAAAGAGTGTAGTGAGAGAGTGTGCTGGAGAGAGAAAATATTTATATAATATTAGATAGTGCAATTTGGTGGTTCTTGTCTAGTGTGTATCCAAAATTGTAAAATTCATTTCATTAATAAACTTTTATTTTGGGCCTCTAAACTCAACAAAGGCTTCCCCATCAGAAATTAGGGGAGGCCATATGAGCATAAATCCACGAGTTAATTGTTCCAATGATCACTAAACTTATGTATGTATTTTCAACTGCTCACTAAAGTTTGAGATGTCGATTTTTGGACACTAAACTTTGAAAAATGTTGGACTTTACTTGCTAGTATAACTTTCGTTTAAAACTTTTAACGGAATTGATGACGGGGCCGACGGAATATACATGTGGCACCCATCACGCCGTTAAATATTGAGATGGTTGAATTTTGATTATTAAACTTTGGAAAATGTCTCTAATTGTTCACTAAATTTTGAAAAACATCTTCTACTACTCACTAAACTTTAAAGTGGTCAAATTTTGAGATGATCGAATTTGGGACACTAAACTTTGAAATAGTCGAATTTTAAACTTTAAAAAATCCTTCGGATGCTCACTAAATTTTGAAAAACATCTTCTATTGCTCATTAAGCTTTGAAATGACTGAATTTTGAAAAACGGCTTGTATTGCTCACAATAATTTTGAATTTAATTAAAATTCGTTGTTAGGTTTTGGATTAAAATCTGAATTTAATTTAATTCCAATAACAAATTTAGCTCATGCTTGTTATTGATTAAAATTAAAATTTTAATTTAAGTCAAAATTAACAATCAATTTTAATCACATATTTTATGTGTTCTAGAACTTTTCAATTACATATTTCATCAATTTTTATCAAAATTTAAAAAAATCTTATTTGAATGACAACGAAATACACAATAGTTAGAATTAAATTCAAATTTAAACCCAATTTTTAATTAAATCCAAATTTATTGCGAGGAATAGTAGGCGTTTTTCAAAATTTTGTAGCCAGAATTCGAATACCTCAAAGTTCAATGAGTAATAGGAAAAGTTCTTCAAAATTTAATGAGCAATCAAAGACTTTTTAAAATTTTAGTAGTCAAAATTCAACCAATTACAAAGTATAACTGAGTAACGGAGTGTTGCATGTGCATTTCAACCACGTCACCATTATCGTTAGAAATTTTAAACAGAAGTTATACAAGTGAGTAACATAACGTTTTTCAAAGTTTATTAACCAAAACACGACATTTTTAAATTTTAGTGAGCAATTGAAATCATAGATATAAGTTCGGTGACCATTGTAACAAATTAACTCAAAATCCGCTAATGATCACTGGTGGACAATTTATTTCATACCTTGTAAATCTGAACGGGAAAAATTTTCTAAAACGAAATATCATTTCATTTTGAAAAAAATTGACTACGGTGTTTCACTTAACGGAGAAACTGGATGAAAATGGACGGAAATGATGTTTTGCAAAATCAAAAGTATAATTAATGGTGAAAATGCTAAACGATGGAAGATGGAGACGTTTTGCACAGTAATATTGAAAGACATGAATGTTATGTTCTAATTACCTATATTTTAGTTATGACATTTAAAATGAAGTTAAAAAGACATTTTAAGATGATACCGGAAGTGCAATATTTCATATTTTTCATGACAATACATATATTAACATGTCATGTTTTAACCTTTTAAATAAATAATTTTTAATTAATGTTAATTATACTGAAAAATTATATCATGATAATTTCATTAAGATATTTAGTTTATAAATTTTATATAAAAAAATAATAATATCTAATCAAATAATTATATGTACAATAAATAAATTGTACTTTTGTAGATGTGTCATATGTTACGTGGCAAGGGAATGTACCCTTTTCCCCTAATATAGTATTGGGAAAAGACACTTGACCGGTTTAACAGTTGGTGTCTAGTAGAGTCCGTAGACGATTCTTCACTCAAATTCAGACCATTCATTTCACAGGTTTTCATCCATTCATAGCCACCGATCTCCTTCCAAAACGACAACGTTCTCAATTCGCCGAATCGCTAAAACGGATTAGCAAAACCAGTAGATCACTTATATACAGATTGCCATATGTATGAATTCCAACTTTTGAATCGATATTTACTAGAGAGATGAACGGGGGTCAGGGAACGGTGCACCCAGTGGAGGCGCCGCCTTTGCAGACGGAGAGGGCGAACCTGCTGCTGCCTCGGAACAGGATGAAGGATTTCCAGGGTATGCCGGGGACTATAGGAGGCCTTTTCTTGCGATTCTCTCAGATGTTCTTCGCGGTCCTTGCGCTCTCGGTCATGGCCACCACCAGTGACTTTCCCTCTGTCACTGCCTTCTGGTAATTTCTCCTTTTTACATACACGCGCGCGAGATATTTATGTGTATAATTTCGGAAAATTGCTTTTAATTGTTTGTTAATATGAGACTTGAGCTGAATTGTAATTTACGTTCCTATAAATACTCAGTAGCTTGTATATTGAAGCAAATTAAGAAAGAGTAAAGGCATAAAGGTAGACTTACCATTCTATATTTCTATTACAATTACTTTTCCTTCTCGCTCCA